TCAAACGGTTTTGCTATGATGCCAACAGTTGGTTCCATAGTGAAGTCAACCTTCTATATACAACAGGTAAATCATACATATTAATAAAATTATTAATGTTATTTAAGTAATCAGAGAATATAGTATGATTTACTTGTTGTATATAGAAAGTTGACTCCACTATAGAGGCAACTGTTGGTTTTATAGCAAAACCGTCATTATTCATTGAGCATAGAGATATTCGAGCATCATGATCTACAAGGCATGGAGATTTAGTTTCCAAGGCTGAACGAGAAGATCAAGTAAATTTGAAAACTTGCAAATTCCTTCCGTATGTAGTTTATATATATATTAGTTTCACGAGTTCTTATTGTTAACGAGCGATTCCATTATTCATTGAGAGAGTTTGGAGTTTTATTCATTGAGAGCTCGTGAGTTTTTTTAGATTTTATAGAGTGATCGGATTCCAGCATGTTGGTTCATCGCTGGTAATTCGAGCTGTCAGTTTTGCTTTTGTTTTTCTACTTCGTGCTTGGGACGAGCATCTTTATACTGTTTGGAGGGATCCATTCGTGCAGCGTAAGTCCAAGCCGTGGCCAGAAAAGTAGTTAGTTAGGTGGTGTATAAAGTAGGTTAGCTTAGAGAGAATCTATGCATGTAAATCCTATTGTACTTGTTGGTCAAACACTTGGTTAATGAAAGAGTTCTGAGGGATAGTATGACGCTCTCTCGAAAGTTTGTTTTTATTTTTTGCTTTCGCAAATTTATATGAAGATACATTATTTTTAATATAAGCGCGAATTTCGTACTTCTCTGAAATTCACCATTCACTTTGTAAGAAATTGTCAACATCATATCAAACGGTTTTGCTATGAAGCCAACAGTTGGTTCTATAGTGAAGTCCACCTTCTATATACAACAAGTAAATCATACCATATTAATAAAATTATTAATGTTATTTAAGTAATCAGAGAATATAGTATGATTTACTTGCTGTATATAGAAGGTTGACTCCAATATAGAGACAACTGTTGGTTTTATATCAAAACTGTCATTATTCATTGAGCATAGAGATATTCGAGCATCATGATCTACAAGGCATGGAGATTTAGTTTCCAAAGTTGAACAAGAAGATCAAGTAAACTTGAAAACTTCGAATTCCTTCCGTATGTAGTTTATATATATTAGTTTCACGAGTTCTTGTTGTTAACGAGGATTCCATTATTCATTGAGAGAGTTTGGAATTTTATTCATTGAGAGCTCGCGATTTTTTTTAGATTTTATAGAGTGATCAGATTCCAGCATGTTGGTTCATTGCTGCTAATTCGAGCTGTCAGTTTTGCTTTTGTTTTTGTACTTCGTGCTTGGGACGAGCATCTTTATACTGTTTGGAGGGATCCGTTCGTGCAGCGTAAGTCCAAGCCGTGGTCAGAAAAGTAGTTAGTTATGTAGTGTATAAAATAGGTTAGCTTAGAGGGAGTCTATGCATGTAAATCTTATTGTACTTGTTGGTCAAACACTTGGTTAATGAAAGAATTCTGAGGGAGAGTATGACGCTCTCTTGAAAGTTTGTTTTTATTTATTCGTTTTCGCAAATTTACATGAAGATACATTATTTTTAATATAAGCGCAAATTTTGTACTTCTCTGAAATTTCAAAAATGTTTGGTAAAAGTATCTGACCAAGCTAAAAATGTTGGATTTTACCGAACAAGTTGATATTATGCAAAATGTTGGTTAGCGAAATTTCTTTTTTATATAGTAATGTGTTGGCATTTGAATTATCCTCTGACTTGACCCATAATAATAATTTCATTTGTTCAGATCAATTAATCATATGATGTTTTCTCAGTTGAAGCAATGATTGAAAATGATTGGGTTATCTTTGCTATTTGAGGTAGGTTGGTTTTGCTACGAAGCCATCAGATGGCTCGATTTATAAAGTCATCCATAGTTATCTACAAATGGTGTATTGACACGTGTCCTGCAGTAAATACATATTGAAAATGTGTTAACATAAAGTTATGGATGGTTCTATAAGAGAACCATCCGATAACATCATAGCATTTCTGTGAGGTAGGTCGTGAATCATTATAAAGCGAGACTCAATGTGTATGTTTAATTATACGATAAAAACTTTTAAACATAAAGTATTGTGTAGTTTAATTATTAATTCGGTCGACTTATATTACACATTTATAACAAAGATATATATACTTATGTTACGAAATGCATATTCTTTGTTTATTTGTTTTTTAAAGTATGACGTTTCAATTTATAAGTATGTATATAAGTTGAATAAGTACGACTATTGTAATTCAACAATTTAATCGTAGCATGGTTTGAATGATTGTAAAAATCATACTCTAAGTTCAGACTTGAGTTTTGATGTTGGGCTAAATATATATCTCATAAATATGTTTTGTTAATTAACAAACTCTCTATGTTTTTCAAATATTATCAACAAAAAAAAAAAAAAAAA